ATACGCAGTCGTAAACCTCCGAGGCCGTAGGTGGTTCCACGTTCACCGTCCAGAGTTCTACTTCACCTCTGGGCTGTAGATGAGTGCACATGCGTGAAGATGAATGTAGATGAATCGCACATATACAAATAAACTCACACTATGGTTCATCATCACTGTCAGCTGTAACAACCGCATACTCATCGTACAGTGGTTGTAGCTGCCGCAGTTTGTTCACCGATGATTTGGGTCGTAGATAGCTGCGCACTGCAGGCGGGAGATGATAAATTGGTGAAAAAATCCGGCACTGTCAGTGGGCTGTCAAGTGGGGAGATTGGGAAGGGAGCCATGCATTGAAGACTTGGATGCACGACCGCCATTGAGGTCGCGACTTGGCAATGTCTGGCAATGTCTCTAACCATTGATGTGGATCGTCTCGGGGTCCCCATGCAGGAAGACGGCAATGACCAGCGCAGCTGGGTCTGCTGGTAATGGATTTCGCACAGACACGTTTAGCCATACTAGTTTCTTCAGTACCAGAAAACCCCAATTGCACAGAACCGATACGCAGCTCGAAAACCGCGTCTGTCATCATGCATCCGTTCGTCGACCGATTGCTCAGTCCGCAATGCGGTGCCAAGCTTTTTTCTCACGGTTTCCAAACTCGGCGTACACCCATCTCTCAAACTCATTATCCAACGTTTCGTATGGTTGAATATGCACAAAGACGAATTCTGTCCGAAGGAACTATCCATGAATATAGCATTCAAACTTGTCTCTAAAGGATGTATCGGTGTCTGCAATTGACCTTGCAATCGATTGCGACCTAACGGTTATCGTATCCAATGAACTTAATGAATTCAACGTGAATACACACGCCGTAATAAGCAACTTGTGAAAAGAAGTTGGAGAATAGCCGACCGCACAGATTTGATCACACACTATTTGGTGTAAAAACTGTCTCTCGATGACTTTTTTAAAGCTTGAATTCCTTCGGATTCAGTTACTGCGCTATCCTAGACCGAAACACGATGGAATACTGCAATAAAGAACAGTAAGCCTTGAATGTGAACTTTCTGCTGGTGGAGAGCGCAACCAAACGGGTGCTGACCAAAGTATAAACGATAACTCTGTAAAAAAATGAAAACCTCTCGAATGAAGAAGTATATTGGAAGTGCAGTACCAAAGGAAAATAGAGAATTCGTTAGTATGCTGAATTTTGAAGGTTGATTGCTGGGTCTCCATGAGAGCACGAAACTATTCGTTTTACACATGGAAACAGCGATCATCCTTTCCGACGAAGGCTATCCCTAGTGAGTGGTCTTTGTCCGAGAAGACTACCGTATATTAGACCAAAAGATATACTGACAGTTGAACACTGGTGAAGTTGACAAATTCGGCAAACGAGGAAGCTAGAGCAGCTGCTGCAAACATCTGGGAGTAGCTTTTCAAACCAAAAGACGAGTCACATGGAGGCATGAAACAAAACAAAACGAGTGGATAAATGGGTCGCCGCTGTCTGCAAAATATGTTCCGAGTATGGTAGGAACGGTTCTCTGGTGAGAAACTCATGAAACACACACAAGATACCGCATTTAGGCTATCGTATGCATTTCACGAAAGCCTCAAGGCACAAACTAAAGAAGAAAATACACGAAGGAACGTACCCGTTTGCGGATAGTCACGATTCGAGAGGAATTCACTGTCGTACCTCCACCAAATGTGACTTTTCTAGAACCTGCCGCAGAAGGAGGAGGAGAGTGGTCCCTCGAATACCTTCGTTGACGTGCTGTGACAGCCGAACTGACATTCGGATGAGATTCGGATACTGTTGATTGATTCTCGGCAGTTGCTGAATCAGCAGATTTTAGGCGCTCTGATGGAGATCCATTGATTAGGACAGAGGCCCCTGGTTTGTCTGAAGTGTCGTTCGGTGGTTCTGTTGCTTTTGGAGATTCCAGCAGACCAGTCGGTTTTTCCGGCACCCCATTCAGTTCGGATTGTTGACTCCCCGACAACATTCGATCTCGTTGTGTGTCACTAGACACAGCCTCTTTCGGCTTCAGAGGGGGAGAAGCTGCACAGTAAAAGACGGTCAAATAAATTGTTCAAGTTAGATCACGTGACATTTTTGGCTTCTCTCATGAGAATAGTTGAGGGACGGCCGAAATTAGGCTAAAAATATCATCAAACATCACCGGAAGAACATTCACCATCCAAAGGGAGAACATGTGGGAAAAAAATGAGCATTTCAAACAACCTCTGTGATGGAAGTCTTATGCGTTCCAGAACCCTTACTAGGAGTCAGTTTGCGATGAAAGATGGAACTCGTACTTCACAGCAAAAGAAAACATCTTCTTAAATCGGAACGTATTGAACCCTCGAATGATCACAATAAGCAGGTCAGTATGCGAAACTGTAGTTCGCAGCGGGAGCCACAGGAGAGAGATGCGGTGTTTGCTGGCACCTGTTCCATATTAAGAGTCGACAACTTGAAGTACCGCGCTGTCAATAACGTCAAAAACACAAACGAGATTGGCACTGACTGTATACATTCAGTGGAATATAAAGCTAGTTGTTGTTTTTTTTATCAGGATGTCCGCTGGATGTGAGAAACGAATGAAAGAACAAAAGCGAAGACGGAGACAGCAACGGATTTGAACACTTGTTCCTTCGGGGCTGAAAACGGTCAGGGGTCAATGGCATTTGAACAGAATGTATTCGCTTCTATAATGATACGAAATGCGACGGGGAAAACAGAAAGATGTAGGATTTGGGTATGGTTCAAGTAAACAAATAGCTGCCCCGTCGAAAGATGTGTATTCGGGTGAATGACAACTAGGTCAGCACATCCATCAACCGAAGGACATTTAGCACACGAACCCCAGTGACTTTGTTATGATAAGCGAACCGATTTGTAGACTATTCGGAGAAGTACTGCCCTTCATACTTCTTTCAGGGGAGTGAAACTAAGAGAAGCGAATCAGTGGTTCACGTTCTATCCTGATATTGATATGAAACACTCACGTTCACCGTTGCGCTTGGTTGGAGGCGTTGAACAACCCAGTAATCAGTAAGAGAGGATTCAATGTCACCTAATAACTACGTTGTAAGCTGTGTCGACACATCAAACATCCTCTCATTCGAACATCTTTTTCTTCTAACCATGGTCTGGTAAAACATTTGCGTGAGTGTGACGCTGTGGGCTACTTCTATCGGAGTTGTTGTGGATCAGACAGGCACGATCTTCGGACGCGACAGGTGTGCAATCCACCGCTGACTCCTGGGTGGCTCCTAGCTACTTTGATACCTGGGGCTTTTGTAAACTAAAGATCGCACGACGTGATTTTATTTGGTGGTTGAAATAATCGGAGTTTGGCTAGAATATGTGCGTCATTTGAACGGGTACTTGTGCGGACCCCAACTTAGGCAATAAACACAAGCTGTTACGACGGGATAGGGAAGGATTCCGTCCACCTGTCAGAAATAAGTGACAGATGAGAACTAGAACTTGGTAGGCGACGTATGCTCCCATAAAAAGATGCCATAACAAACGCCTCAAGAGCAGAAACAACTTTGTTGGTATTGCAAACCTCCAAAGGAGAGAAAAACCCTAGTAATGAAGAGTAGATAAACTTTGGTTTCCCGAACACGTAATCCCTCAATAAGAAGGACCGTAGTGGGAATAACCTTTGCGCTTAAATTACGGTTACTGAACACCTGTGGCCGTAGAAAATGGTTGGTGACACGAGCATTGCTGATGTACAACCAGGTAAAAGCAGCAAACTCTAGTCTACGGGAATTCACTACACTTCACTAGTCACCGGAACAGTGTAGTCAGGGTGCAGATTTTGTAAAATGAATGTAGATTAAATCACAAAAGATAGCTTCGGTTTCGTCGTTTAACTGGGTGGCACATGAGTTTATCATTTCGACGGTTGACGACCAGAACACAGGTCCAGCCCGTGGCAGTAGTATGTGTCTGTCACGAAGCGACAAGGAAGTTGAAAGACGGAACGCTCTGTTGTTAGTTAATAAAAAGGGATTTCAAAAATCCAGTAGCAAGTAATATCTCACAAAAGAAAGCATGCATCTGATTCAGACTAGTGAACCATCTACCCACCCGAAACCCCTCCATACACACACACTCTCACTAAGAAACGTACGTATTGAAGAGATATTTTGATGATCGGTGGACTAGAGAATTACCAGTAAAACAAAGCTTTCCAGATCTGATGTGACACTAGCCTTTTTGGAAACTAGAGGACAACATTTAAACCTACGGGTGACAACGTCATGGGAAAACAAGAACCGTGCCAAGGAGTTTGATGATCTGCTGGATGAAGCGGAAGCTGAAAGTTCGTTTAGCTTCAGCACCCTTCCGGTGCCTAGCTGCCATGCCACCCAAAGGAAGCACGAGGGCTGGGATACTGCCAGGTTGCCCAAGCCTAGGCAGGGGAAGTCGAGAGGCAGAGGTCGGGTTCGAACCACGGTCAATCAATTCGGGCTCTAACCACTTGGTCCATCTCGCCCCCAGAAGCTGGAAGGAAGATGAACGAATGGACGACGGACTGAAACAGCCAGTCTATTCTCGCTACAAAAGGGATTCATAGACAACCTTGTGGTACGCTGGCTAGCTGCTCCTCGATTCACAGTGTCCTCAAGAGGTTTACCACCAGTCCATCATTTTGGACGCAGGCTGTTTATTGCCTTTCGGAAAAGCTAGGTTGATCGAAAGGAATGCATGCGAGTCAACGAATGCTTCGAAGGAATGGGCATGACTTGGAAGTATGAAGACGGAATATAGTATAACAGAGATAAGCTATGCGTCTTACTGAACAGTACACTCAATTCGAACAGCATATGGGCTTCAAATACAATGGAGACGGAGTCTGTTGCAAAATTGTTCGCTGAATGGTAAGGTAGGATTTAAAACCGACATTGCATGTTCAAACGTACCACGCTTCAGTGTTTGATTGACGAACAGGGCATCTGGTTCACCGATGGGGAGAGGAGGACTTTTGCGCCAAGAAGGCACTACAGGGTCAGGATATGTTTTCTCAGTTGACTTGTTCACGTCATTTGGAGAAATAGGTTGGGTGCCAACACTGATATTAGCGGCTGCTTTGCTCTCTGTCACTACGTCACCGCTAGCGACCGCATTCAATGCCTGAGACTGCCGTTCTGCTAATCCAGAAGTGCTCTGGACGAGACTGACCGGTGGTTTCGCCTCCTCCTCCTCCTCCTCTCCTTCGTCTTTCACCTCAATGCTCCCCTCAGATTCTTCACTTTCCGAAGACTCACTTGAGAAGGGAGATGAGTACAAAGGAAAATAGTAGGTAGAGAACCGCACACAAGATACATAGCTAGCATAGGCAAATGAAACCAAAAAAAAAAACAAAAACAGAATGGCACAATTAGCGGAACACGTTACAAACAATCTGCAATCAAGTTTCATGTCCCAATTGGTGTACTTTTCCTGTCTGGTCGAACGGTGGACCACTACCAATGATGTGGTAGGTAGCAAACGGCGATAGGTAGCAACAGCAGCTGTAAGAGACTGTCCAAACAACACTGCTGCCTACCATATTCGCCCAGTCAATTTGGCCGAGTTTTTACTTAGTATATAAAGTTAGGAGGCAATAGGGTTTTCTGATCATCGCTCATTTACGACGATTACATTTATCGGGCGATAGCGCGTTCTGATTGGCCAGGAGTTGATTCATCAGGTTCGATAGGCTAAACTTAGGATCCCTTAGCCGAGAAGAAAGATCCCGGTACATCATAGCACTAAATTCGGAGACATACGGTATGAGTGCAACTACGTTCTGGTGGTTTGAATGCAAACATCTCATTACCAATCAAAAAGTCACCGCAAGTACATTTCTGCGAATCGAAGATGTGTGATAAGTCCAGGGACGGACTGAGGATTAGGTCAAGTGGAGGAAAGTAAAGCGAACTGGCTACGGGCTCGATGGTGCACTCTGGTTATTCAAAGTTCTACTTCCTGCAGAACGACCTCGTGGGGACGAAGCACATACCGAAGGATTGGATGAACTGGGTCAGATTACACAATAGCACTTGCGCTTGCTGCTATTTTTAAAAAAAATGGGAACACGTCCATTAACCGTTCGGATAGGTATGGACACCTGGACTGGAAATCTTTCCAAATTTTACTTCATTGTTTCATAAACGACAAAGTTATTTAAAGTGGAGATGGTAGATGGAACAGCTCGCAGGTGCACACTGAAGTGGGGGTTCAGTCTTTTCGTGGCGGTGCCAGTACTTTCAATCTTTCAGCATGCCTTCAAGAATACAGAGGGAAAGCGTGGAAATCTACACGCTTGTGGGAAGTCGCATTCATAGGAAAGGTGAAGCAAACGCAGGAATCCCAGAGGCCTAAACAGCTTTTGACAAATCGCTCTACTTTTGGTATCAAAATGGCATATCAGTAAGTCTCAAGAGAGGCTAAGTTGCGGGTTGCATTGTAGTACGGTTGCAAGACTTGGCTACTTCGGTCGGAGGGTAAATGACATTTCCGGGTCTCTGACCACCGATGTTTCGGGCTGAAACTAGCGAATTTGGAACAAGGTTATCAGGAGACTGGTCTTTGGCGAGGCACACACTCCTGTCGATCGATCAGCTCGGTCAACCACACATGCTCAACTTGGTACGCGTCAGAAGTTGGTGAACACATACGAACCCCATATTCACACATTCCTGGGAGTGTGAGAGTGTACGGTGAGCTCTCTAAAAGCTTTCCCACAAAAAGTGATGTCAACTCCGTTCACTCTTGTTCAATTTCATCATTGATGAAATGAAGCGAACGCTGGAAGGCCTTAAAAACCCCGGTGTACGAATTGTTGCTGGTGAGAAACTTGTCGATCTGGAGTACAAAGATAACACCGCCCTTATCTTTGAAAATCAAGGCGAAGCAGAAGTCGTGTTGAATAGACTGACCACCGTCATACTGTCTTTTAGCATGAGCCTTGCACCTTCAAAGTGCAAATTTATGCTTCAAAACGTGCATTTTCTGAAAATACCCCTTACAATTCAAGGGAAATCACTGGATGTTATGCACAATTTGACGTACTTTTTAATTGTAATAACTCTAACGGAAATACGTCTGATAAAGTCAGTACAAGAATATCAAAGGCTCGAATCACGTTTGCTAATTTGCGTCACTTGTGGCGCCAAAAAGGTATATCACTGGGTCTTAAGGGTCGCGTGAACCAGGTGACAGTGTTATGTATGCCGAAACACTATCTACCGAGATGGGTGTTGTTCTCTGTGCATCCTTCAGAATCACGCAAAAAGCAACGTGACCCGGCGGAAGGGCGTAAAAGAGACCAAGAAGAGGTTGAGTGTTGTCACCTTACAGGACAGAGTCCTCGTGATCCCCCCCTGTGCTTGGCTGGAGACACTCCGAGAAATGGCGGCTGATCGATGTCAGTGGCGTTCTGTCAGTCAGTTTCCAGATTGTCTGATTAAGCGCTTGGAGGTGTAGGCAACTCAGAATGCTTGACACAGGCGAGCACTAGATCTCCTCTCTCACCCAATCTTTTTTTAATCCTTTTACTCTAACAGTCAGTTGGCAAACTTTTTCAGCGCCGTTCCTACAAACCGACAACCATACCTGGCTGACACCGCCCAAAGCATAATCTAGAAATTGAACAATGACTTCTGAAACAAACCTGCCATCCCGAGGAAAAGACGTGATACACTATCCATAAGGTTGGTGAAAATTCGAATACTGTAGCAACTGAAACATGACGCGGCCTGGTGTAGCACATTCCGTTGGTTGGAAACATAATAAACGAGAGATTCAGCTAGGTCCTAGGTGGGTCTCTCGCAAATGAGGGCATTTCGTGAATACTAATACGGTTAACGGTAAAGTACAACTACTTATTTAGCAACTATAACTGAGAACGAAATCATCAAAAGACGGCATTCAGTAGGTCACTAGTCAAACACTTCTCGACGTACAGAGTCTACAAAACAAAAATGAATGGTTTCGTTTCGATTTCGGAGACCAAAATAACTGAAACCTGCGCAACCCATAATCAAGAGATTGCATGTGAAAAGAACAATCGAGTTAGAATACGGCGAACGAATTGGAACAAATTTGTGTGCCAAAGCGTTCAGTTTGTGGACACACGACAGTAATTAGTGTCGTGTAAAATCACAGCGGAACCATGATTGTGTACATAAATTCATTCATATGACGTTCAAATGGGGCAGGAAACCGTCGTACAAAAGAGGAATGAAACAGCCAGATCAATAATGATCACCTGCCAACGGAAATATGACATACAAGAGATTGATTTTCAGGTGTTACTTTTGTTTTATCATCCTTAACGGTCAAAAAACATGTTTCTTTGTTGCGCCCGGAGGGGGTGGGCACCCTGGGCTACAGAAAGTATCGTCAGACACCCATTATTTAATCGGGTTTTAGTTGGGGAGTGCTCCAAACAGCCAAAGCCGTCCGGATTTAACTGCACAACGCGATTATCTGTACACAGAAAACAGCCCGTCCACAAGCTCGGACTACCCTGGCCAAATCCAAGGAATTTTCTGCCAGGCAAACCACAGCAGGCCGAATAACAGCTTGCCTAGGGTAGAGCCGTATGTATACTCCCGGCTAGAGACCTGCAGACCACGGTCGTGTGAAATCGACAAAACTTCCCAAAAATTGTCTCCTTGTCTTTCTACTCAACCGACCTCGGATCCTAGTCACTTGGCCAGACGAAGCTTTCGTGTCAAAAGTGTCAAGACGTTGCCCAGCAAAAAATCTACCGACTGTCACCAAACTCTTTCGAAAACGAGTCAAAGGATAGTTTCGTCATCTGCTATCTATAGAGATTAGTCGTACGCAATCTCTTTAAAGACGGTATCACATTCTTCACATTCTTCTTCAGGTGTACTCCTCCTCTGAAGAGCCCTTCTCCCTGCAAGTCAGTTTGGATGTCCTCTCCGGAACGAAACAGTTGTAGATTTAGATGCGAACTGGAGTACTAATACCAACACAACCGGCAGGCGGGGCTGTCCAAATACTAACAACAAACTGAAACCAAAAGGTTGCGCGGACTCGAAAAGACGTAAGCAAACGACTGGTTGATGGAGCCCATTTGAAATTGTCCCTGGTCGTCAGTTAAACCGTATCGCGTCGACCAATCATTAGACGTAACTGTTCTTCTACAGCATTGTATTCAGAACACAGTGCTCCCGATAAGAATTCATTCGGTAGCCGGGATCAATTTGTGGTGATCGGCGACAAACACTTCACAAATCTCTAACGTTCCTCAAGTTTGCAACTTTCACAGTACGCCACGAATAGTAAGTCAGTAGTGAGATTAATTCATACTGAGATTGGATATAATGACAGTCACCCTTCAAATTAACTTTCAGCCTTCAACATGGCTGATGGGAGCAACGAGATGGAAATACAACCAATCTGTGTCGGACGGGTTACATGAGGTGATGATGGGTCACATGGAAATCCAATCTGTCCCCCATGAAGCATTGCTCCCTCTCAGCGACATACAGATGGGTTTTCACAGCGAGAAAACACAACCTAACTGGTAGTGTTTACATTTAGTTGGAAGGATAATGGTGAGCCATTAAATAAGTCCTGCCCACAGACGTTAAAACCACCTGTCCGATTTCTTGGAACAGTGAACTGACATTCATGAGGGCAAAAGCCTAAGAGGGGTCTGCGGAAGAGAAAGGATTTGCACTCCGTTGCAGTGTGATCAGAGGAGAAAAAGGAAGAAAAATTACGGAGATCAACCAGAGGCGAACTTAACTTGGGCATTGGCAAAACGCTGATGAGGTGAGCATCTATGCACACCTGAATCCTAATAGCGATCGGGTAGAAGACGCAGTCTCAAAATCAAGAGTGAACTAAATGACAGAAGGGCAAGTGGGAACGATCAAAGCTCGGAGCCACGTTGTACACGGAATGATAGTCAGCAACAATCGAGAGGTAAGGTAAACGCTGCGCAGGGGAGGTTCTTGTAAAAAAAAATCACTATCACAAAGAGTACAATGAAACTATTTCGAAGGCAACTGCGTCGTCTACTTGCGCGCGACATTCTTGTAAAAAGTTCGAACAACATTGAACTATTGGATGGCGCACTGGTGCCTTTGCGGATGAATTTGTGAGCCGTGTGTCATCCCCCCACCTTAGTTTGATTCGCGATTACCAGAATTTGTTTCAGACATTGCCACTGGCTTAGAATGCTCACGCATATTTTGACAACCAGAGGCAGTCAGCGCAAAGCTGAGTTGGCACAGTATTGCCATTTAAAGTGATGTACGATGACCTCAAAAAGCAGTGTGCCTTTATACCAATAATGGCTGCTTCATCAAATAACTGATTTCATGTCGTCAAGGGTAACGTGACAATGAACACAGTCCAAAGAATGCACAGACTAGCAAGCAATCATAGTTTTGGGTGGGCGAGGGTGTCATGTGGATGCTGGCAGTCCCACTACGCGCCAGTCCACTACTGTTGGCAGTGGCACAACATTGGGCACATCAATCGAAGACAGCATCTAAAAGTGTCAAAATCCACGCGAAAACATTTCGGTGCGTAAGAGGGAGCGGTATGCGCAGCACATCTACACCAGGGGGGGGGGGGTGAACTTGTTGCTGTGTGTAGCACATCCACAAACGGCAGAACGAACGACCAAAGAAACAAACAAACAGCCATCAACTGTTCGGATTATTCCGCGTGGGTCACCAAGCCGCTTCACTACCGACACCCGCCTTTTGTTTCGCATCTTGGCACAAGAGGCAAAACACTATGATCCCGCTCTTCATGGGTCAACAGCGTGTGCGCAAGCGTTTGTGTGTATCTGTGCACGCATAATTCAACGCATTGATCGTTCCAAAAGGTTTGTTGTTGAATTTTGTTCTAACAGAAGCAACAGACTGTTTTGATAGGGCGATTTTGAGCAAAGAAAGAGTATGGTCCGTAAGCAAGGTTACACTGATGGGGGGGGAACTGTCGGACGATTCTAGGCCGTCACGTGGCGAAAAGCAAATAACATGGGTGAATGTAGGCCACCTCCTGTCTCTGAGCCAGTTCGGCAAAAGTTTGCGGTATTGTGCCGTATGTTCAAGGGAAGTGCACCAACCTGAGCATACCAAATGATATTTGTGACAGATACCCAACAAAGATCGAGTAAATTGCATGGCCAGTCCAACCATGATGGTTTTTCGAATGAATACCCTTCACCGTGACACGATGGGCGTCTCAGTCCTGGCTACAAGCTGCAAGGAGACAGACCGAGCGTAAACTGGGGGGGGGGTTAACCGTTGCTTCACCGCAGTTGTTGAATAATACTTTCCTGTGAGACCTTAACAGATTTGAGTAACATGTGCAGGGCGATAACGAAGCGGCTGAGCGTCGGTGTGCTGTACCATCGAGAATAGGGCTTGTGTGAATCTACATACACTTGGCTGCGGATGCTACCGGTTGGGAATCAATCTCAACTCGTTTCAGCAGATCAGTATGTCTAACCAGCAAGGGGATGACGATTTCCAACAGTACTAGCGCTGAACGGCAGTGGAAAAAGACAGAATGCAGCAACTAATTGGAACCATAAGTCGGCGTCCGCAGACAAACCGGGAGAAACCAAAAAACGGAGGAGAGTAGAAACAAAGAAACAAGAGTGCAGCAGCAGAAAATAATCGTACATTCTTTTAGTGCTTATCCATAGTAATAGGTGGGCCGGCCTTACCCTAGACAACGAAGCCAAAGAATGAAATCAACTAAGGGCAGGGAAACTATTCAGGAGCGAGACCTGCTAGGCTCTCGCCAAACTTAAAACGAAATAATGGACATAATTGGAATTTATCTAGTTTAATTCATTCCCCGCCAGTAAAGCGAAGGTCTCTCGACTGAAGTGGGGCTGTGCGGGTGGGGCGGACACGAAAGAGAGCACAGTGATAAGTTGGAAACGCTATGCAATCCACCGACTGCTTTAACAGAAAGAAGGATAGCTGATGCACAGAAGTTGGAAGCAAAATGACGAAAGCTTGTGAAAAGCAACCAGATTAATTTTCACGTAGACAGCTACGAGTAAATTTCGAGTAGCCATCGAAACACAAAGCACACTTTACAAGTGTAATTGCGTTCACGTGGTAATTCGTGGGAAAGTTTGCCGAAACTGCTACTGAAAAGCTGACGAAAAAAGTAGTTGCATTGGGGAGAGTGTATCGCGTGATTCTTACGGTCGAAGTGAATCAGCTGATTTGATGCGACCACAAAAACCGTTAAACGCATTTTCATGCGTGACGGTTGGCACATATCGTTGGTTCAGTCGTGAAAAAAGAGAACAAAAAGAACCATAAGAAGTAGATGAACAAAATAAACTCACTCAGAAGGAAGAGGTGTAGCTGGTTCCGTTTGAACTGGTACTACTGGAGCCACCGGGGCGGGAGGAGCCCTCTGTTTGAATGAAATCACAGTGGAGAGATTAAAACCAAACAGGCGACAATGAGTGCCTAACATACTGAAGGACTGAACAGTGATTAGTGAAAGCGATCAACATAGTGAATAGGATGGGTTGCAAACAGCCTGTAGACGTTGGAGCCTCATATCTGAGAGGGCTGTTGGCTATTCCCTGGCGCATTGGTTTCGAAGTCGAGTTAATCCTATCTGATCATTTGTGGTGAAAGTGATCAAGTACGCCCGAACGCGATCAAAATCTCCCCAAAAACGTTCAATGAGCAACGGACAAAGTAAGCAGTGTGGAGTGATTGAGTGGGCGTAAAACGTAAACGGCCAACAATGGCCGCTCTGGTAGTTTAAGGGCTTCCATCGGTTCCTTGTTGTCCGAGAAATATTGTTCTAAAATCTTGAAGCTAGAATCAAAGTGTTGCACTAAATCTTATGGGAGAGTAAGCTACTGCTGTAAGGCTCTGCTTAGGTTCATTATATTCAGTGGTGTCCGGCGGGGCTGCCTCCTTCCCCGTTTGACCTTGAATATGTTGTAGATATCAGATGAATTGCTACAAGCTTCGGATGCCTGGACATGAAGTTCGCCCAAAAACACGACGTAGTTCCATATAAAAATTGTCGGCAAAACTAAATAACCCAAACACTTTATGTGCTTTGCACCTGCAGATGGTAAAGCACTGCAACAAAGCTGCTTTGGGTCAGATTCGTACGAAGTGCTTGGAGCTGGACGAGTCCGTTTCATCGACTAGGGAATCCCGGCAGTCCAAATGGAATGACAGGAGGCCAAGTCAACTTTCGGATAAGGTTTGCGAAGGTAACTTTTTATGAACTGACTATTTGTGCGGCGCCAATGTGACATCAGTTTGTTTGCCAAGCCCAGAGACTACATGTCCCCATGTCACCTGGTTTGTGAACTTGGCCTCTGAAGACACAAAACACCAAGATGCTGACCGTGCTTGATTATCTGTATGTTAGGCGGGATTCCGCACCGATACTACTCGCAATTAGGCGCAGCTACGATCAAGAGGCGTGTCCCGCATCAAGGTGAGTTCTGGTTGGTCGAAAGTCTGGACGCAGCAGCCAATCATGATTCAGTAATCATCGAATGCCAGTTGCCAATGGCGCGTGCGGAAGGCGCCAAATTTCCAAGAGGTTGCCGCCGCATTTACTTTATTAACGACGCGCTTTTCGCCTGGTTTTCGGTTTAATACACCTTTGGTGGCTGTTTTGACGGCAACGCTGACTTGGATGGTTAAGATCGAGCACTAAGCTGAGAAAATACCATTATTAAACGATGCCTCTGAGACGTCTGGTAGGAACATTGGGTCAGTGATGCTGAAATCCACCAATTAGTTTTCAAACGAAACAACTGAGGCTCGACACATGAAGCTTCACAGGGAGTTGATGTCTACGATGACAACATGTCCCGGAAAACAAACAATAGGGAACGAGTTTGCGATGCACTTACTTCAGGGTCGATCTGCAAAGCAATCAATCACCTGCCGAAATATTCGGCAACAAACCGACTGACGATGAATCGGTGGTAGATCATTTCGGAGTACAGAGAAGAAAATGCAGAAGCTAGCACAGTAATGATTTAGTGTGATAGTCCTCCACTTTTCACAAGGCAGTAGCTACCGGGAAACTTGACGACACTAGCAATGGTTGACCACATCGCCATTCAGTGAACAACAGGCGCAAACGTTCACACGTTTGCAACTGGAGATTCGAATGTAATTCGGCGCCTGCAGAGCAGGTAGTGATCGTTATCCCGTTCGACTGAAACATCCTTTCAGTGCATAGCTGCCACGTCACCCGAAGGAAACACGAGGGCTGAGGTACTGCCAGGTTGCCCAGTCGACATGCAGGTTGAGGTCGAACAACGGACATTCTGGTTGTTAAATTTGCGCTTTAACTACAGAGCCATCTCAAGCTTGAAGTACAGCTTTCGGGGAACCAATGGGTCTGATCTAAGTTTCTCATACAGTTTACGTCCCAACAAGGAGACACATGCATTGCATTCTAAGAATCCTGAAGTTCATAATATGAATGTACCTAAAACACCGGATATCCGAACATCGAAATAGTTGCCTACCTACTGCCCGCGATCTTATCATCCTTAATAAGTCTGTAAACTATGGATGGAATGGTGGAATTTAGTTCTTCGGCCACAAACAGCGATCCAAGAGTATGTTGGAGAAAGACGGCCAAGTAAGTTCATTGATATTGAAGAGATCATCATCATAGTCCTTATCAGCTGTAATAACCGCGTACTTGTCGTACAGTGGTTGTAGCTGCCAGAGTTTCGTTAACTGATGATTCGGGGGATAGTGAGGAGATAGTAAGACCCGACAACTGAAAAGCTTCTACAAGGGAGAGAATCACTGAATGCTTGACTGAAACATGCCACTAACGACAGTCACACCTCACTCTGGTGTTCTGGGGGCTGTAACAACCGTATTTTCTGAACCTTCCAAGCTAGCGTTGTCGTCAACGGTGCTCAACGTGTATTATTGCCAATAACCAGGTGAAAAAACATGTAAGGCGCATCTTTTATAAGGTGCATGTGGGTACAATATCCTGGAGATTTAGACGCCTTCCGGACGCGCCACTGGCAACTGCTAATCGGCGGATACTGGATCACGGTTGGTTGTTGTATCCAGACTTTCGGCCAATCAGAACTCGGCAAGGGGCCCCGTCTCTTGGCCAGTTGCGTGCGGGACAGGTTTGCTGAACGTAGCAGCGCCTAAGTGCGAGGGGCAGGGACAGCGGCGCGGAATTCCGCCTAACAGAGGCGGTCATCGAGACGTGACTGACTCTACTGGTCAATGGTTTCACATTTCAATGATCGGCTTGCGGGAGCATTTGGCCCATATATGGCTATGGAAAGAAAAAC